GATATGCACGGAAACATCCGTGGTGTGATTGGTGTTGGACAGGATTATACTGCGAGGAAGCACATGGAGGCAGCTAAGGTGAATTTCTTGGCTTCATTCAGTCACGAGCTGCGAACGCCGCTGAACGGTGTACTAGGCATGTTGGAACTTCTGAAGGAACAGCCTCTGGATAAATCTATCGAGCGATATGTGCACATGGCATACGTGTCGGGATCTCTTCTTCTGAACCTGATCAACGACATCTTGGACTTGTCGAAGATTGAGGCTGGACATCTAGAAATCTCGACGGCGCCGTTCCAGATGCACGACTTGCTGGACTATTCGATTGAAATCTTTAAGTTCAAGGCTAAAGAACGTGGACTGAAGCTTGAGCTGAAGTGCGGTGACAACGTGCCAAAGGCAGTGATCGGAGATGTTGTGCGACTGCGTCAAGTGCTGCTCAACTTGTTGTCGAACGCGATCAAGTTTACGAATGAAGGCTCGATTACTGTCGCATGCAGCGTCGTCCACTCTCCGGAGTTACCGCCTCAGTTCAAGAAGCTGTTATTCCAAGTTATCGATACAGGAATTGGCATGGATGCTGAGGAGAAAATGCGCCTTTTTTCTCTGTTTACGAAGCTGGAACGCACTCGACAGAACAATCCTACCGGCTCAGGACTGGGTCTTGCCATTTGCAAGCAGCTCGCAGAACTTATGGATGGTTCTATTGATGTTGACAGTGAACTGGGCGTTGGCAGCAATTTCTTCTTTACAGTGGTGGTGCGATTGATTGACGAGGTGGACCCCAAGCACGCTTACTATTCCTCGGAGGACTTCCTGGACCCCTCCACGGCGTTGCTCTCGCCTAATGGTGGTGTGCGTGCTGGTGAAAACGGCGAAAATGCAACTGTGCGTGCGGAGGTTCCGAAGCAGGCGCGTATTCTGGTTGTAGAAGATAACGAGTTCAACTGGGAAGTGGTGAAATGTTTCCTGCAGCAGGATGATCACCTGCTTCAATGGGAAGTGAATGGCCGCGATGCAGTGAAGGCTTATAGCGAAAACCACACGGAGTTTGACCTGGTCTTCATGGATTGCGAAATGCCCATCATGGATGGTTACACTGCTACGAACGCGATCCGCGAATTTGAACTCAAGCACAACCTTCCTCGCATCCCGATTCTCGGATTGACTGCGTACGCGATGAGTGGCGATCGACAGAAGTGTCTCGACTGTGGTATGGATGAGTTTATGGTGAAGCCCATCTCGAAGCTGAGCCTTCGTAAGGCTATCCGGCAGTGGATGCGTATCCGTTATCTGGGCCAACATAACGCTGCTCTCGGAGCTGTCGTACAGGCACCAGGTGCCACGGGCCAACCTGTGACCCTGCGCAACGGCCCCCGTCCTACTGCTAAAAGCCCTATGAGGATTCCTGCGCCATCTCCAGGCGCCCCAACTCCAATGCCATCGTTTGATAGCGACCTGGAAGACGTTACGCTCATGGATGCAGTATCGACCGCCAGACTTGCGCCTGCATCTCGCCACATGCAGCAGCTGGATCTAGCACAGGCGATCTCGAATCTGGAGCTGGACGATCCCATGTCGATTGGTCTTCAAAGTGGCCGGGCGGTTCGGACTGCTACTCCGACAACGTCAATCTTCAGCTTGGGGCCCTCCGTGAACAACACTGCACGACAGACAAGTACGAATGATCTACCAGACGTGCTGAGATTATCCCGAAACACAAGCGGGGCTTCAACAGCAAGTCCTCCTGAACCTGAGAAGCCAACCGAGACGTCGACTACGCTCCCTTACACGAAGACTCCATTCACTGGCGTAACGAATAGCCCATTCCAACATGGATCGCGCTCCCCATTGACAACAAACCCAACACTCTGGAGCCACCCGCCGTTCAATACGAAGGACCTTCCCACAGGACGACCACAATCCTGGTCCGGTCTCGCCCCTAAGAAGAAGGTCAGCTTCCACGAAGAACTGGAATCGAGCCATCCAAGCAGAACTGGGCTTAGCAGCATTGGCAGCAGCATGCCTTCTGTGTTGGAACGCATGGAAACTGGTAGCTCGGTGGAAGATGATACACCAGTTGAGGATACTATTACTCCTGCTCAGGGAGAGGCTGCTGTGTCCCACTCAATCGACCCGATGAGCATCGAAATCCCGGAAGGAGACCCCGTGAACTACAGCTTGGGAGTGGATCAGTGCGGAGGACACGAAGAGCTCTTCTTAACTCTTCTGGAGAAGTTTGCAACGACTTCGGAGGCCATCACGAACCGGGTCATGGAGGCTCACGAACGCAACGACTTCGTCACTGCTCGTCGTGAAGCGCATTCACTCAAGGGATCGTCGGCTTACGTCGCTGCTCTTCGTGTATCCAAGTGTGCCTTCCGCGTCCAAGTCGCGTATGAACACTTGATGGCACAGCAGGCAACCGGTGAAGGCTCCGATACCCTGGCCGCGAAGCAGATCGTGGACGACTCCGTCCGATTGCTCAGAAAGGAACAGAAACTGCTGCGTGGATACCTTCGACGCAACTTCGAGTTCAAGACTCAAGCTGGTCCGTCCCAAGTTACTTCAGGCCACCAGCCTGACGAAGACAAGCCAAATGGCCCATGCTGCGTCATGTGAGAACAAATACAACTATCCATACATGTAGCTTCTTGAAATTGTAGATGTCGATGAGTAAATTTATGAAATACAGATTGTTTTCTTTTGTGCATAAGGAAACTCTTGGAAGTCGGCATTATTAGATAGCACAGAGGAATATACCATGTCGAGACGACTTTTGAGTGATAATGGGGACAAGTTGACAGGGCTGTTTGGTGGCAACTCGCTCAGCTTTGACAACAGCGATGACAACCAGGACAGCAGCCGACCGAGTGCTCTACGAGTTAAGATTATCTCGATGGGGGAGAGCGGGGTCGGTAAGAGCTGCGTGATTAAGCGCTACTGCGAAGAAAAGTTCGTGAGCAAGTACATCTCAACCATCGGCATTGACTATGGTGTTAAACCTGTGATGGTCAATGGTGCTGAGGTGCGTGTAAACTTTTGGGATCTATCGGGCTTGCCGGAGTACGTGGAGGTGCGGAACGAGTTCTACAAGGACACTCAAGGAGGGGTCCTCATGTTCGACGTGTCTTCGAGGAAGAGCTTCGAGTCTCTCGATAGCTGGTTGCGAGAAGCTGCCAAGTTTGGCGCGGGAAAATTTCCATGCATTCTGTGTGGCAACAAAGTCGACCGCCCTCGGGTCGTCTCCGAAGATGAAGCTAGGGCATACGCTCAGGCCAAGGGATTCGAGTACTTCGAGACGTCTGCATGCACTGGTGTGAGTATCACGGAGGCATTTCACTCGTTATTCAGGACTGTAGTCAATCAAGTGACACATTAATGCAAAAGTTGGCGCAATCGTCAATCTAGTTGGCAGATTTTCAGTTGTGGTGACAAGTGACAGCGATCTGTTATCGTGTTTGAGCCCTTTGAACGCGCCAGCACTTGCTTGTGATCTCCTCGGGAAATGAGCTAGATTCACGCCTCCGAAGACGTTCCTCACTGCAGTTCATTCGCAAATTCGCCTCCAACTACTCAAGACCAACAACTACCATCACCACAAACCATCACGATGTTCAAGCAGCTCGCCGTCACTCTCGCGCTCGCTGCGCTCATCCTCGACCCTGCGAATGCCAACCTCGCTGACAAGGACTCAACTTCGTCGCAACTCCTGCGAAGCGATCGTCTGCTGGAATCCGGGTCAGCAAGCGCGGACGACATCAATCCGCTCTACGAAGCGAACACCAAAATCAAGGGCTGCCGTTGGTACGACTATTTCCTTCCCTGGAGCTGCTGCGGAGCCAACAGTTGCTAAGAAGTTTTCACGGAGAACCCATCGGCCGCAACGACGAGGGGCGAGCATCCATCAACCAGCACCCACCACCAACATTATTCTCTTCTCAGCACTGATTGTTTAGCTGTAGCGTACTACAGGCGCCTTCGCGCATGCGTCTCCTTAACCGTAATGAACTTGATGCCATCGCTCTAATCGACATTTCTTTCGTGCATGTTGCACTGCAAACTTGCAGTGCTTCTTGCCCATCAAAAACGATACTTTCTTGGGCTAAAGACGCGGCCAAAGGCAAGCACGTACCACTTACGACAGGGACGTAACCCATACAAACTCCCATACAACTCTCCTTCACAAAAGTTTCCCTTTTGGGGTTGGGGACAATCACTCCCATTCCGCATTATACCGCCATGGCGCCGTCGAAGGGAAAGCGCAGTCGCCGGGCGTCCAGCACCACGCCGGACATGCCACCGGCGCCGCCACCACACGAAGAGGGTATACAAGATGATAGCGAGACCTCTGACGTCGCGTGGCCACGAGTACAGGAGCTGTTTCGCATGCTAAACGACGCCAACGCGCCAGCTCTGGGAGTCCGCACCGACGGTCGCGTGGCGCTCTGGAACCCGCGCATGGAGGACATCACGGGCTTCGAGGCCGATCGAGTCATTGGCCGCCTCATCTCAGACTTTGTATACGGCAAGCAGCGCAAGCAGGAGATCAGAGAGACCATCGAGGCCTGTATTGAAGACAAACGGCCGGAGCTGGAGCTGCGTATCCCCCTGAGGAACACCAAGGGCCGCAATGCCCAAGTACTGACTAACATGACACCGCTGTTGGCTGAAGACGGCACATGTGTGGGCGTCTATGGCGTCGGGCAGGATGTGACGGAGTGGGCCATTCAGGAGAAGCAGTATGCCACCGTTATGATGCAGGCCAACGCGCCCATCATTGAGCTGGACAAGGAGGGAAATATCACCGTGTGGAACTCCAAAACTGCGTCCATGACGGGCTATGCCAGTGTTGATATGCTGGGCGAACCGCTACTACCCGTTGTAGACGAGAGCTTCAGGAAGATCGTCTCAGAGAAGATTGACCAGGCGCTAACGGGTATTCCAGGCGCAGATTTCGAGTTGCCCTTGGTGACAGCAAGAGGGTCAAGAGTCGAGATTGTGCTGTGCTTAACGCCGAGGTTTGATACGCTGGGCTCTGTGATGGGTGTAGTCGCAATTGGACAGGATGTGACGGAGAGAAACACCAAGGAGATGGAGTACAGGAAGCTGATCGAGACGGCCAATGCGCCGATCTTTGGTGTGGATACAGAAGGTCGAGTGGTGATTTTCAACGCCAAGGCGTCGCAGATTAGTGAGTACTCGCCCGATGAAGTTATGGGCGTTGACCTGGTGGAGACGCTGATATCCGAAGAGTTTAGACCTGCGGTTGCTGCTGTGTTCCAGAGTGCCTTTCAAGGAACTGAAACGGCAAATTTCGAGTTCCCCTTGGTCACCAAGACTGGCCGGAAAGTGGAGATTCTGCTGAATGCTACACCACGATACGATCACACTGGGAAACTTGTAGGCGTTGTTGGAATCGGACAGGATATCACGGATCGTATTATCCAAGAGAAGGAGTACAGCCGACTGATTGACACAGCAAACGCACCCATTTTCGGCGTAGATTGCAATTACGAGGTGATAATATGGAATAAGAAGGCTGCCGCGATTACCGAATATACGAACGAAGACACAATTGGGCAGGAATTGTTCAAGTTTATATCGGAGGACTACCGAGATGCCGTTGCTAAGGTTTTCTCGAAAGCTTTGGAGGGAAAGGGTACGGCTAACTTTGACTTTCCGCTGATCACGAAAAGCGGACGGCGATTGGATATTTTGTTGAACGCGACTCCGAAGTACGATCACTTTGGCAACATTTGTGGGGCAGTGGGTATCGGCCAGGACATTACAGACAGACGTGCTCAAGAGCAGGAGTATACACGGCTTATTGACACAGCCAACGCTCCAATTTTTGGTGTGGATGCGAATGGTTGTGTGAACATTTGGAATAAAAAAGCCGCCGACACGACACAGTACCCAAACGAAGAGGTGCTCGGGGCGAACTTGGTCGAGAACTTCATTCCGGAGGATTTCAGAGAAGCAGTGTGGACAGTCCTATCCCAAGCGCTGGAGGGACAAGAAACAGCAAACTTTGAGTTCCCGTTGATCACGAAGGACGGCCGTCGTGTAGAGATTCTGCTGAATGCCACTCCACGCTACAATGAGAAGGGAGTTGTGATTGGCGTAGTTGGTATCGGCCAAGATATTACGATTCGTATGGCCCAGGAAAAGGAAACCAATCGTCTTATCCATTCGGCAAATGCCCCGATCTTTGGTGTTGATCGGGACGGCCTAGTGAACATTTGGAATCTAAAAGCAGCAGAAATCACTCAATACTCCGCCGAAGAAGTCATGGGCAAGGATCTAGTCAACCGCTTTGTTGCAGAAGAGCACCGTGCCACGGTTGAATTGGAGCTTCAAAGAGCTTTGGAAGGTGAGCAGACAAACAACTTTGATTTTCCGCTTATCACGAAGACTGGGCGCCGAGTTGAGATCTTGCTGAATGCGACTCCTAGATACGATGAACTTGGACAAATTTTTGGTGTAGTGGGCATTGGCCAGGATATTACCGAACGAATCGCACAAGAGCAGGAGCTCATTCGCTTAATTGACACTGCTAACGCCCCGATTTTTGGAGTCGACTCCGAAGGGCGTGTGAATATCTGGAACAAAAAGGCTGCGGAGATTATGCAATATCCAGCCGATGCGGTCATGGGTGAGCACCTTGTCGAAAAGTTCATCACGTACGACTACCAAGAGGCTGTGAGTTACGTGCTATCTGAAGCTCTAAATGGTGTTGAAACAGCGAATTTCGAATTCCCATTGATCACGAAAACAGGCCGCCGCATTGAAATCTTGCTGAATGCAACGCCACGGTACAATGAACATGGAGCAGTGATCGGCATGGTCGGTATCGGCCAAGACATCACGGACCGTATTGCGCAGGAGCAAGAGTACATGAGGCTGATTGATACGGCTAACGCCCCGATTTTTGGAGTGGATTCTGATGGACGCGTAAATATCTGGAATCGGAAAGCAGCTAATATCACGCAGTACACGGACGTGGATGTGTTGGGCAAGGATCTTGTTGCAGAATTCATTTCGGAAGAGTACAAGGTTCCTGTCCGCAGCGTGTTAGAGAAGGCGTTTGAAGGTGTGGAGACTGCGAACTTCGAGTTTCCGTTAATTACGAAGTCAGGCCGGCGAGTAGAGATCCTATTGAACGCTACTCCGCGTTACAATGAACACGGCGAGGTGATGGGTATGGTCGGAATTGGCCAAGATATCACGGATCGTATTGCGCAAGAGAAGGAGTACATGCGCCTCATCGACACAGCGAATGCTCCCATTTTTGGTGTTGACTCCAACGGACTAGTAAATATCTGGAATCGGAAGGCAGCGGACATCATGCAGTACACAACGGAAGATGTGCTTGGTGAGGATCTGGTTGCCGAGTTTATTTCCGAAGAGTACAAAGTGCCTGTCCGTAGTGTGCTGGAGAAGGCATTTGAAGGTGTGGAGACGGCCAACTTCGAGTTTCCCTTGATTACCAAGGCTGGCCGGCGTGTGGAGATTCTGCTGAATGCTACCCCGCGCTATAACGAGCAAGGTGATGTGATGGGTATGGTGGGCATTGGCCAGGACATCACCGACCGTATCGCTCAGGAGCAAGAATATAGCCGTTTGATCGATACTGCCAATGCTCCGATCTTTGGTGTGGATGCTAACATGTGCGTGAACATTTTGAACAAGAAAGCTGCTCAGATCACCAATTTTGCCGTCGAAGAAGTACTGGGAGAGAAGTACGTGGAGACGTTTATCGCTCCTGAGTATCAGGCTATCGTTTATGACATCATGTCGAAGGCATTGCATGGGGATGAAACGGCAAGCTTCGAAGTGCCAGTGATTACGAAAACGGGGCGAAAGCTGAATATTTTGCTTAACGCTACCGCTCGCTTTGACCAGCATGGCCGCATTGTTGGCGCGGTGGGTATTGGCCAAGACATAACTGATCGTATTGCGCAACAAGAGGAATACGCGAGACTCATTGACTCTGCAAATGCCCCAATTTTTGGCGTCGATGCAAATGGTCTCGTTAATATTTGGAATAAGAAGGCGGCGGAAATCACGCAATACACGCCGACGGACGTTATGGGTGAGAATCTGGTAGAGAAATTTATCACGGAGGATTACCGCGAAGCGGTAGGACTTGTGTTGTCGAAGGCACTGGAAGGCGTCGAGACGGCGAATTTCGAGTTCCCGTTGGTGACGAAGTCTGGTCGGCGTGTGGAAATTTTGTTGAATGCTACACCGAGGAACAACGAACACGGTGAAGTTATCGGGATGGTTGGTATTGGACAGGATATTACTGATCGTATCGCACAGGAGAAGGAATACATGCGTCTCATTGACACAGCTAACGCCCCCATTTTCGGCGTCGACTCGAATGGTCTGGTGAATATTTGGAATCGGAAGGCAGCTGATATTATGCAGTACACGACTGAAGATGTGCTTGGAGAGGATCTCGTGGCGAAGTTTATCTCGGAAGAATATCGCGTGGCCGTTCGATGTGTTCTGGAGAAGGCGTTTGAGGGCGTGGAGACCGCTAACTTCGAGTTTCCGCTGATTACGAAGGCTGGTCGACGTGTGGAAATTCTTTTGAACGCAACACCTCGTTACAATGAGCAAGGTGAAGTGATGGGAATGGTCGGCATTGGTCAGGATATTACCGATCGTATTGCGCAGGAACAAGAGTACAGCCGACTTATCGATACGGCAAATGCCCCGATTTTCGGCATCGATGCGAATATGTGCGTAAATATTCTGAACAACAAGGCAGCACAGATCACGAACTACGCAGCCGAAGAAGTTCTAGGAGAGAAGTATGTGGAGACGTTCATTGCTCCGGAATACCAGGCAATTGTGTACGAGATCATGTCGAATGCTTTGCAGGGAAACGAGACTGCGAGCTTTGAAGTCCCAGTGATCACCAAGACTGGTCGAAAGCTAAACATCCTGCTTAACGCAACTGCTCGCTTTGATCAGCACGGACGCATTGTTGGTGTCGTTGGTATCGGCCAGGACATTACTGACCGCATTGCTCAAGAGCAAGAGTATGCAAGACTGATCGATTCGGCTAACGCCCCGATTTTCGGTGTAGACGGTGATGGTCGCGTAAATATCTGGAACAAGAAGGCAGCTGAAATCACACAGCATTCACCTGCCGATGTGATGGGTGAGAATCTCGTGGAGAAATTCATCACCGAAGACTACCGTGAGGCTGTTGGTCTCGTTCTATCGAAGGCGCTAGAAGGAGTTGAAACAGCCAACTTCGAGTTCCCATTGATGACTAAAGCAGGGAGGCGAGTGGAGATTTTGCTGAATGCAACTTCGAGGTTCAATGAACATGGGGAAGTGATTGGCATGGTTGGAATTGGCCAGGATATCACTGACCGTATTGCACAGGAACAAGAGTACAGTCGCCTAATTGATACGGCCAATGCTCCGATTTTTGGTGTTGACTCCAACGGCCGCGTGAACATTTGGAACCGTAAGGCTGCCGATATCATGCAGTACACGAACCAAGATGTGTTGGGCAAGGATTTGGTTGCCGAGTTCATCTCAGAGGAGTATAAGGTGCCAGTGCGGAGTGTTCTCGAGAAGGCGTTCGAGGGTTTTGAGACTGCGAACTTCGAGTTCCCGCTTATCACGAAGGCTGGTCGGCGTGTTGAGATCTTGCTGAACGCTACACCGCGGTACAACGAGCACGGTGAAGTGAAGGGCATGGTTGGTATTGGCCAAGATATTACGGAGCGTATTGCTCAGGAGCAGGAGTACAGCCGTTTGATTGATACTGCGAATGCTCCGATCTTTGGTGTGGATGCCAACATGTGCGTGAATATCTGGAACAGAAAGGCTGCTCAGATCACGAATTATTCTATCGGTGAAGTCATGGGCGAGAACCTTGTGGAGACGTTTATTTCCCCCGAGTTCCGACCTATTGTGGCTGAGGTGCTGTCTCAAGCCCTAACAGGAGTGGAAACCGCGAACTTCGAGTTCCCGCTGATTACCCGTCCGGGCACGAGAATCGAGATCTTGCTGAACGCGACGCCGCGGTACGACTTGAATGGTAATATTGTTGGTGTTGTGGGTATCGGTCAGGATATCACGGATCGCATTGCTCAAGAGCATGAGTACTTCCGTCTGATTGATACAGCAAACGCTCCAATCTTTGGTATCGATACAAACGGTTGTATCAACGAATGGAACCAGAAGATCGAGGAGATTACTGGCTACCACAAGTCGAGCGTGTTGGGTCTTTCGCTGGTGCACACGTTTATCATCCCGGAAAGCAGACAACAGGTTCGACAATTGCTAAACCAAGCGCTGATCGGTATCGACGTTGGTGAGATGGAGCTTCCGATGACAACCAAGCGCGGCGTATTCCTACTGCTTCTTGTGAACGCATCGAGTAAGAAGGATATGCACGGAAACATCCGTGGTGTGATTGGTGTTGGACAGGATTATACTGCGAGGAAGCACATGGAGGCAGCTAAGGTGAATTTCTTGGCTTCGTTCAGTCACGAGCTGCGAACGCCGCTGAACGGTGTACTAGGCATGTTGGAACTTCTGAAGGAACAGCCTCTGGACAAGGCACCGGAGCGATATGTGCACATGGCATACGTGTCGGGATCCCTTCTCCTGAATCTCATCAATGACATCTTGGATTTATCGAAGATTGAAGCAGGGCACCTTGAGATCTCTGCTGCACCATTCCAGATGCACGAGCTGTTGGATTATTCGATCGAGATTTTCAAGTTCAAGGCCCGAGAACGCGGACTGAAGCTTGAGCTCAAGTGTGATGATAATGTGCCGAAGGTTGCTATCGGCGATGTTGTGCGACTGCGTCAAGTGCTACTGAATTTGTTGTCGAACGCTATCAAGTTCACGAACGAAGGCTCAATTACAGTCACATGCAGCGTTGTATACACCCCAGAACTTCCAAAGGCATTCAAGAAACTGTTGTTCCAAGTCATCGATACAGGTATTGGTATGGATGCAGAGGAAAAGATGCGTCTGTTTTCTCTATTTACGAAGCTGGAACGCACTCGCCAGAACAATCCGACAGGTTCTGGCTTGGGTCTAGCAATCTGCAAGCAACTTGCGGAGCTCATGGATGGTCAAATTGGTGTTGATAGTGAGCTGGATGTTGGCAGTAACTTTTACTTCACTGTGGTGGTTCGCTTGCTCGATGATATGGATGCGAAGGGGTTATTCTACGCGGCTAATGATTTGCTTACCGACGCATCTGGTGCTGCATCTCCTAATGTGGATACATCGAACGTGAACTCGAGCGACAGTGCGGTAAGTGCAGCTGCGGTGAATGCCGCTAACAATGCGAAGGTTGTGATTCCAAGACAGGCGAGAATATTGGTTGCGGAAGACAATGAATTCAATTGGGAGGTGGTGAAGTGCTTCCTTCAGGAAGCGGACCACCTACTGCAGTGGGAAGTGAATGGTCGGGATGCGTTGAAGGCTTACACGGAGAACCATACCAAGTTTGATCTTATCTTCATGGACTGTGAGATGCCCGTCATGGATGGGTACACCGCTACGAAGGCAATCCGTCAATTCGAGCGTGAAAACGACCTGCCACGTATTCCTGTTCTTGGACTGACGGCCTACGCCATGAGTGGAGACCGGCAGAAATGCTTGGGGTCAGGTATGGACGAGTTCATGGTAAAGCCCATCTCGAAGAACAGTTTGCTCAAGGCCATTCGTCAGTGGATGCGCGTTCGGTACCTCGGTTCCAAAACGTCTACCGTTTCAGTTGCTGGATCGGACGACTACCCTCGTGCAAGTTCCGAAGGTGCGAGCGTTGCTGCGTCAGCTCCTACTTTGTCTATCTCTTCTCCATCCTCGTCGAAAGACCGTGGTGGGGATGACCTAGACGTTGTGCCGATGTCATATCCTACAACATCACCCACCCCGCGCCCATCCTTCGACAGCCAGGTTGACGACGAAGGAGACTTGTTCATCAATCCGCCAGAACCGAGCTCAAGACTTGCCCCCGCCTCTCGTCACATGCAGCAACTTGATCTTGCGCGCGCAATCTCGAATTTGGAGCTGGATGATCCGATGGCAATCCGACGCCAGGTTGGACCCACCGTGCGCACTGCAGTACCTACGACGTCGATCTTTAGCCTGGGCTCTTCGGTCGGGAACAGCACACGCTCCAGCGGCCTTTTGACGCTTCAGCGTGATACTGGAGGTGCGATCGTTGACATTCCTGACTGGAAGCAAATCAACAAAACGTCTGCGACGTTGCCAAACATGAAGGACAAACCGCTGGAAGGCGCGGAGACTGCGGATCACGTGTCGTCTCACAGTAACCCGACTTTGTGGAGCCACCCGCCTTTCATGGGCAGCAAAAAGGACTCAGCGCCAGCGTCTACGTCTTCTCAGCAGCCGATGTCGCCCAATTCTGTTTCGAAGAGTGCACGATCCAGGGCAGTAACTGAAGGCGGCCAAAATGCCAACGCACCGCTGTCCTTGCAGCGGTTTGACTCGGACAAGAGCTATGACGAACACTTGGCAGGGGATCCGATTGCAGCGATGTTAGAGCGTCTGAATATCAGTAGCCCGGCCGCCAGAAATGGGGTCAGAGGTCTTCCCAGCGTCGACCATGCGAGTGCTACCACCGAGAGCGACGCTGCAGTTCGTGGAACCATGGACCCTTCCAGTATTGTCATTCCCGAGGGCGATCCTGTGGACTATTCGTTGGGTGTGCAGCAGTGTGGTGGTCATGAAGAACTGTTTTTGAGCTTGCTGGAGAAATTTACAGTTAGTTGTGAAGCGATCATGTCACGCGTTTTGGCAGCATACGAGCAAGGCGACATCACAGTGACTCGCAGAGAATCTCATTCGCTGAAGGGATCGTCGGCTTATGTCGCTGCGATGCGAGTTTCAAAGGCTGCTTTCCGTGTGCAAGTTGCTTGTGAGCAGCTCCAGCAGTGTCAATCGGAGATCGGTACAGGCCAGCAACCCGCAGCACTTGCTGACGCCGCTGCCATGCTCTCACTGAAGCAGTCGCTGGATGACTCGATCACGTTGTTGAAGAAGGAGCACCGACACTTGCGCGGCTATCTCCGCCGCAACTTTGAATTCCGCGATCTCACCAGAAGTGGAAATGCGTCGTCGGCTGCAGCTCTGCGTGCCCAGAATTCGTCCCAGGATCGCGCCAATGGACCCTGCGGGATCATGTAAGGAATCCAGGTAACTTGCCACTTGTAGGATACCAAAACGGCAACGATGTACTATGGCCAATCTACTTTTTTTTTGCATTTTTTATTGAGCATCTAAACTACTTATCGTGCCGCTTAAATATCAACAGAGGCAATCTCATGCGAGAAGACCTGCGTCTCCAGGAAGGTACGGTAGAAGGATTGTTCGCGTGGGGGCAGGCGGCGTAGGAATGCGATCCGGTCAAAAACCACTACGTAGTCAAAATCGTCTGACAGCACGAAACGGAACTCTTCAACTGTGCGTAGCAGAGTCGCCAGTGCTTCCCGGAAGCACGAGCGTACATGGCCTTGTGGGAAACCGCGAGCGAGCGAACTTTCCGAGTTGCCGCTAAGCATGGGGACGAAGTCGCTGAAGAAAACTTTAGGCTTAAGCAACTGGAGCAGTCGGGACGTGAGAGGTCCACGGACAGATTCAGGGAGCTGTGGCCGGCCTGGAGAACTCATCGTGTCAGCATCCAGATCCACTACGACAATGCCGTCGCCACAGCCTTCACGCTCAAGCATTTCACGCAACTCTGCACGATAACTGGAGTGTACGCCAAACAGGTATGGCGTCGGACATTGCAAGCACTCAAGCATGCTCTTGGGCAGGATAGGCGCAAACACGTGACTCCACTCCAGCGGGGCAATCAAGCTCTTCAACGTCTCGCCCACAGATGTGAGCACTGAGTACCGTGAGCTCACAAGCACAACCTGTCTTTCCAGAAGCATACATGTGACCAAACTAACCACGTGCTCGACAGATAGACAGCTGAATAGCTCCTCCATACTGAAGTCCACGTAGTTATCCAGCGCAGAAAGAGATGTAACATTATCTTGCGAAGCCGTAACAGTAGCAAAGTCGAATGGAGAAAGCAGTTCGGCCATCTGCGCCGCGGAAGGCAACCAATTTACGTCGGAGAGGTACGCTTCATCATCCTGCATCGCCGCGTGAAGTGAGTCTAAACGTTGCTTGAGTGTGTCAAGAATCGGATATCGACTGATGATACAAAGTCCCGCTGGAACGTATACCTCAAGACCCTCAGTCTCCTGCAACACTTGCTCCAGCGGTCCTAGCTTGCTTGAGTCATTCAGCGGGACGTATCGAGTGAGACAGGCACCGTAGAACGCCTTCTCCGCATTTCCGATTGTCATGTGGAAAAGTGAGGGCTCTGGACGCGTAGTGGAACGCACGACGTCAGCTCCCGATGGGCGGAAAAACGCTTCTACATGGTCCGGAATGGCGTGATGGTGATACAGATCACTGCTGCTCTCGCTGTGGTCTGCCAGGCTGTGCAGTACTTCCTTGACGACCTCAGGGTGTGATCGATCATTCACATCTAGTCGGAAACTCATCACTGAGCTGATGAGCGATTTACTCTGCGGTTCACCACGTAACTGGCCTTGAAAGAGATCTCGTAGTGTGAAGGATTTACTCCGTACCCGCTGGGGCTGATGTGACGCCACATTCATGCACTGAAACAGCTCTTGAAGCGTAGTCATGCTGCTGTTGGAAGCTGTGCTAGAGTCATCGCATGCTGTGGACGCGACTGCGTTTGAGGAGCCGGACGGGCTGAGCAAGCGACTCTGGTAAGACGCAACCAGTGACTTGAACGATTCACTTCCCATGAAGCGCACAAAATGATTCACCTTAAGGTCGGCCTCAATGACCGTTTGGATGCGTTCTACAGTTCCGAGGAGCTCCTCTGCGTCACCCAGCGAGAAGCTACCAGCATCGAGACAGCAGGCCACACGCAGCTCGTAGTCTCGCAGTAGTGCTTGCTCAGCCTCCCCGACAAACGTCACGCGCGTGCTCGCACTTGCAGTAAGATATTTGGCGGCAATTCGACTGCCAACCACAAGCAGTTGCTCAATGAGCTCTCCAGTCTGTCGTTCCTCGTGGTCATTCTCCTGTTGCTGCTCTTCCTCTCCACTGTCCTGAGCTGCGTGGATAAAGTCGTCGAGAATAGGCAATAGCTGATACCTGAAGTCCATCCAGAGACTCAGCTGTTCATGTGTTCGCTCCTTGAACAAAAAGACCCAGAACACGCTACACAATCTCCTGTTGCCCAATACACGCTCCAACGTCAAGAACGTCGTAGCTGTGCGTTGTCTACGGACCTGAGTAGACGTGCTGGACACGGGGGATGACGACGACACGCTCGTCTCAGGAACCGAAGCTGGAGAGTTCTCTTCCAGCTGCTCTTCATCTGTACTGTCGTCATTCTCGACGTATGTGACTCTGGAACTGGCCACGAGCGCCATGAACTCGGGCGTAGCTGCGAACTGCATGAAACTAGGCTGAAGCGCCTTCTTTACAGCCACTTCGGCGTCCTGGAACAGGTCCGTCTTAGCTGCCAGCCCCGAGTACAGCATCAGATCGTTCCGTAGTAGTTTTCCGAAGCTCCAGACCGACTTGTTGAGGATACGAAGGTTCTCGGATGCGATGTCTAAAAAGGCGTCGGGACTCATGAATTTGCTGATGATCTTGCTGGCGTATTGGCGGCGATGCGCCTGTGCATCGTCCTCGGGGTCTTCCGAGGGTTTGTTGGAAGCGAAAACTTTCTTGAACTCCTCGACGCTCACGAGGAAGAGAAGACGCGCGAATCCTTTCGAATCGGAGACAGAGAGATGCTGCAGGAACAGCGCGTGAAGGTGCGGGTCGGCCACCACGGCGTCCAGCGTCACGGGCGGCTCGACGGAAGGCATCGGTAGAGAGATGCAAGACCCAGAGACTAAGAGTCGGACTGAAGGACTTGATGTTGTCCGAACAGCGAACTGACTATGGGGCTGCACTTCTGATTCCACCCGTTGAAGAACATGTTTGACAGTTAAAGAGCATATTACTATTTAAATGTAGGGAAACTCAGATCTGGTCTGTTTCGGCTGATTCCATTCAAAACATTAGGAATTAGCCGAATCAGACCGGATCTGAGTATCCCTACATTTAAATAGCAACATGCTCTTCAAC